CACACACACACACACACACACACACACACACACACACACACACACACACACACACACACACACACACGAGTTGTGTATAGCGAACATGACAAGTTGACAACACAAAAAATAAAAAAATGAGCGTGCATCAACGTAGTAGTGCAGCAGACTGCCCCCATGCACCTGGTCCATGGGGTGTGCTCAGGTGCGCACGCATCATGTATGCACAGCGCAGCGCACTGCACAGCACAGCGCACTGATACGCCACAGCTATGGAGCAGGTTGATTGCATCTAGCATACGAACATGCAAAGCGTAGACATATGACGCTTCGTGCCTTCCTTCGGTCTACGAGGTGAGATAAATGTGTAGTCTAACCTCTATTGAAAACTACCGTCTTCACCCGAATAGAAAACTTGCTTATTTTCGTTGTATTTGGGGCAACTTTCAGTCTAGATACAGCAATAATGTTGGGGCAACTTTCAGTCTAGATACAGCAGTAATGACCGGCCATTCTAGCCATTCTATTCTGGTGAAGACAGTAGCGATGAAAGTTGTAAATCAATGAAATGAGAATGGAAGAGAGGAGAAGGTGGAAGGAGGAGGGCTTCTCCAATTCTGATATGCATCAATTCCACACTTCTAGGTGAAAATTTACTGAAAATAAATAACTGCACTTGCCATTTTAGTATGATTTTCAATCATTTTTTACACATTTGGACAGTGCATAAAGTAGACCTCTTTGGTGAAGATACACGTTCTCAACAATCTGGTCATGAACACAGTCCGATTTGGACAGTGCATAAAGTAGACCTCTTTGGTGAAGATACAGGGCCTTGCTGCCCTACTCACCAAATGCGGAAAAGGCCAAGTGCAACTTCAGCGAAAAGGTGAACATATGCATTCATTACTTTCATTTGCTTTCATTTACAAATTGGGAAACCGTCCAAATTTCCATTCATGGTGAAATAGAAAACAAAGAAAATGCAAGTCTCGGAACTTTAAAAAAAAGAAAAAAGAAAAAAAGAAGAAGTTCAAATACAAGCATGTCCTTCCCTTTCTTTTCTCTTCTTCTTCTTTTTCTTTGGACCATTTATCTATTTATGGATGTTGTCTATTTGCAGCCATTGAGATCTCAAAAGTTGGAAAAGAACTAACGTAACCCTCGGCCAAGTACTATTTCTATGATGTTCACGGGACGCTGGACCCGATTGCCAGGAGGTGCTGCTCCCCAGCAATAGATGGAGCGTTTATTTAAAAAAAAAAAAAAAAAAAAAAAAAACCTCGGCCAAGGCACTCTGGTGTCACAGTTTGCGCAGGAGACGGGGTTGCAAGTCCCGGGTTGTTTACGGGCACGACTTAGGAAGTACTGGTGGTTTAAAAATCCAGGACTGGTCCTTAGAGATCTTTAGGATTTGAGCGTCGCGGTTAGAGTGTTCTGAAAAAAAAAAAACACTTTTTTGGACCAGTCCTCAGAGAAAGTTGTCATCTCTGCGCCTCGTTCCTTAAACCACCAGTACTTTGCCCATATATGGGCTGCGGGCCCTTTTCGTACACATGCCGCAACTTGCAGGACCTCACCGCCGCTCATAGATTTCATCAGCAGCCATTTTCCCGTTTATGGCCTCCGAAGTCACGGTGAGGGGCCCACAGCCGATGTATGGGCCCAAGTACTGGTGGTTTATAAAGTAAAGAACCTCGCGAGGTCCTTTACAAATCGGAAATATTTGGCTTGGGAATTTGGGAATCCTTAATTCTTTTAGGACGTGTCCTTGGAGCATTTTCACTTTTAAGGACTTGATTTTTAAAGAACCTCGCGAGGTCCTTCACAAATCGGAACTTGATTTTTTGGAAGTCTAACGGAGCCCCATCCCTACGAACCACATCTGTAAGGAGTGTCTAACGAGACCCTGGCAATTGCCTCAGCAGGCAGGGGCAAACGCGGAATTGGCGGTGGAAATATATGCACGCAGCACCCTCTCTCCTTTCGGGGTAGCGTCAGTGGGCAGGGGCAAACGCGAAAATATATGCACACAGAACCCTCTCCCATTTCCGGGGAAAAATGCAGCCAAACCTCAAACACTGAGTCCCATCCTCTTAAACTGCTAGTGCACGGCCCCAGCCTAGCAGAAAGCTTTTGTCGCCACAAGCAAAACTCGGAGGGGCCTCGCAGCACGGGCCCCTGTTGTCAATAAAAATTGTGGCCTCCGATGTGGTGCGGGTTCCATGCTGACACCCACGGGCCGATGTACGGTGTATTGGTGCTTTAGACCACCAGTACACCATACATCGGCCTGTGGAGCAGCCTGCACCCCCCCCCAAGTGGGGTGAGGGTTCCATGCTGACAGCCACGGGCCCAGCTTGAAAGAAATAGCTGGGCGGTGTACACCATACATCGGCCCGCGGGTGTCAGCATGGAACCCTCTCTCCTTGCTTTCAAGATGGGCCATAAACGCACCGTCGATGAATTTCACCAACGGCGTGTGGAGCAGCCTGCACCCCCCGAAAGTCACGGCGCCGTAAACTGGCCAAGGTACTGGCAGTTTAAACCACCAGTTCACACCTGAACTGGTGGTTTAAACTTGAAACTTTAAACCACCAGTAGTTTCGCCCAGGCATTTTTCTCAGACGTGGCTCCTAACACGCCGCACGACTCGCCCCTCGGCCTAGTGGAACAAAATGGCTGGCTAGCAGTGCCAGCCAAATGGAGGCACACGCTGGTTTATTGTTCTTTGGCTCACAGGGCGTTTCCAGGGTCGAAAAGAAACTGCCCAAAACTTAAGTTTTGGTGGTTTAATAATTAAAATAAATCAGCTTGAATAGAATACATTTACCTGTCTGCCTTGTAGCTGTACGAGGTTCACCTATGAACAGGGCCAATTTTCAAAAGCTGCCTGATAAACAACGATTAGAGGCCCTTCCCCCCACCCCAAAGGAGGGGGGAAAGGAAAAAGCAAGCCCCGTTCCACTTCACTGAAGACTTGTTGATTCCGAAAGGTGTCTCTCAATTCTTTACTGTTCAGCACTGAATAATCTGCAAACCAAACAGCCACCATTTTCTTCATTTTCTTCATTTTCTTCATTTCTGTCACTTTCATGATTTATTTTCAGATCTTTTTTCATTTTCTTCATTTCTATTATTTTTATCATTTTCGTTATTTTGACATTTTCGCTGGGCTACCAGAGTGGCCCGGGTCCACTTGCCCTGCCGGGCCAAACAAAAATAAAAAAATAAAAAATATTTTTTATTTAAATTTTTATTGTAAATTTGGTACAGAATTTCGATGTGACCCTGAGGCAAAAGTTGTTCAGTTTATTTTTCTACATAACATACTTTGTTTTCGTTTTTTTTGGGGGGGCCTGGGACCTTCTCTTATCCCGGGCGGCCCGCTGGTAGCCTAGCATTTTCGTCATTTTTTTCATTTTTACGATTTTTGGAGAATTTTCCTCATTTTTCCTATGTTACCAGAGTGGCCGGTACCAGTTGACTGGCCGTGCCAAAAACGAATTAAAAAAAAAATAGGGGAAACTGCTCCTGGGTCACACTTTTAGTTCAAAACGGCAAAAAAACACTAAATGGCAATGTCCTCGACGTCGAAGTTCAAAACGGCAAAAAAAACACTAAATGGCAATGTCCTCGTCGTCGAAGTTCAAATAGGATAAAAAAAACTTATAAGGGCGTCGCTGCACTACTCTCGACATGCACAACAGACAAAAATCATGGCCGTGTATATTTCCATATTCTAGCAGAAGATTCGCTTTCGTTTTGCGCATTTCGAGAGTAGTGCAGCGAGGCCCTAACAGTGCTGCTGCCCTAACAGTGCTACTTCCACGAATGCATCTGCCGAGAATATTAGCTCGGTTCGTTCCTTGTTGTGTTGTTGTTTTTTTTTGCTGCTGACACTTGATTTCGTGCCCTGCCAAAGAACAGGGCGTTTTCCACGGAGAACAGACGTGCAGACGACAAAAAAAAAAAACCGGACAGCTGACACTTGCCAAAAACGAAAAAAAAATAAACGAAGTTGAAAAGCAGGTCGTGAGGGGGGGGGGGTAGCCGCGAGCAGGGTGTTCACAGTAGTGCCTCCAGGAATGCATCTGGCCAGAATTCCGCCGTGCCGTGCCCTGCCGCAGCTGGGGAAAAAAAATAAAGGTGGTGTTCGGCCCCATGGTTGGGCCACGGCCGAGATGTCTCGGTCACACCCCAGATTGGCCACAGCCGAGATGTCTCGGCCACACCCCAGATTGGCCATGGCTGAGATGTCTCGGCCACACCCGGTATTGGCCACGGCC